TTGCACCTATTTTATTTTGAACATATAAACAAAATTACATTATGCATAAGTGAAGATTAATTTACCCTAAATGAATACATGAATTGTGGTTCCAAACTTTCAAACGTATAATAACTTCGTGAAGTTTCAACAATTGTCGATGAATCATTGTGCAATGATTCAATCTGAAATGAAAATAAAATAAAACTGGATTATTGAAATAAAGGAAAAAAGGAATTAATTATTGTAATACTACATTTTTCCATTTACTAACTTGATATGAGAATCCTTTTTTAATTCCATCCATCGTTTTCCATGCAATTGTAACACCATTCTTTTGTACACCTTCAATTCGAAGACCACTTACTAATGGTACAGTAGTTCTGTAATTACAGTACACCTCTTTAATTACAGTACATTAATGTACATTTCCTTTACAACATATGTACAATAAATATTAAATAATATTAATTCTTTAGAAGTTGCATTCATCATTTATTAAGTATATGCCAAAGTATCATTTAATATTAACAAAATTAAATTTCGTTCAATATAATAATGCAATACATTTATATCATATCTGTAAATAACATTGTTAAATTTACTTCTAACTATCACGATGAAAAAAATTTCAACAAAAGAAAGAAACCAACCGTGTAGTAAATTCAACTAATGCATATTGATTAATAACTGATTCCATCTTCGATACTTTATTTTCTGCAAAAATTAACACCGTATAAGTGGAACCAGATTTTAAAGCATTTAATTCTAAACGTTTTGTTGTAAATGTATTTCCAATTGGATCAGCAATTGTTGTTGCCGGACATTCCGGACACTGATAACGATACCACAATTCCTGTAAGTACGAGAAATATAAATGAATAAAAAATTGAAGTAATTAATGCCATATTAATTTCATTAATAATTAAACTAGAAAAATGAATTATACTTATCGCGAGTTTATAATTAAAAATTTTGATTTATATCGCTATATAATTAATCAATTATAGAATAACAATTTCAGTAATAATTTAGCAATGTGTGGCATTAACAGTATAACTTTAAATAATATCTTCATCATTCAAACTTTTGGTTCAGATAATTTTTTTTACCAACCATAAAATAAGTTTGAATAATATCTTCGTTATTATTTTTAGTAATAATTTTGATTTTGAATAATATCTTTTTTGGGACACTAAATAATATTTTTATTTTTCACAATTAATTTTGTCAAGAAAAATGTTATACTTGTGAGCAAATTATGTTCAGTTAAAAAAATAAACTTTTTAAAAAAGTTACGAATACAATTTCTTTCTTTTGAAAATTTCTCCTTCAAATTCATTCGTTTCAATCAAATGTAAATTCAAAATGTGTTAATTTAAATTAACCTTTCGTCCACCAAGCATTAACGGTTCATCCCATTCGATTGTAACCGATGTTTCATTAATTCTTGCTACCGTAACATGTGATGGTTTTGATGGAGGCTCTATAAACAAGCTTCTTTTTTTTTAAAATTTAACCAATCAAATATGAAAGCAAAAAAGAATTTGAATTTATACAACTGAATCTGTTTTATATTTTCTTTTAAAATAAGATTTAACTGACACATTTTTTTTTGTTTTGAGAGAGTATTTGCATCAAATTAATTTCCAACAATTTAAAAAACAGAACAAAACTTAATTAGCGATCATAGCAAATATTCCCGTGTTATTTATTTACAGTTATGTTATATCAGTAATTAAATTTAAATAAAGAGAAGGGAAAAAAAAAGAAACAAAACTTACGCGTACAAGCAAATTCAGGTCCCTCATCTTTCGCTCTGTAATATCCCGCATCGCACTGACATTCCGCACTACCGATATTTCGTGTATTGCTATGTTCAGGACACGGTTCACAATCGCCCAAACCATTATTTGATTTGTAAAATTCAATAGAGCACGCTGAAATTATAAATTATAAATTGAAATTCAAAATTAAAACTTTAGCTTCCTCTATTAAAACAGAGGAAACAAAAATTAAATTATAAATGGTAAGTACTAAACTATAAATCTAAAAGAAAAAGTTAAAGCATTTCAAAAAAAAAGAAAGGAAATTGCCTCTTCCAAACGATTTTTTTTTCACAAAAAAATGTTAAAATTGCTTCTTTGATTCACTCATTTCCCATCGTATTTATCTTCATTGGAATAAAATAAAAATCATAAAAGTATAAATATTACCGCTTACAACACATATGTTTACCATATGATAAAACTGTCATTTACTGAATAATTATAACAAATCTCTCCCTTTCTCTCTTTCCAAATATTTTCAAAAAAAGAGTTTTTTTTTTCATTAATTATGTTATGAATAAGTTAGATTTTCTTGAATATTTAAAATTCAAATAAATTAATTATTCATTATTTAAGTTCATGAAAACATTTAGAATCGAAGCAAATAATTTCTTCATCAATATCATTTCGAAAAAAAAATTTCTCCAAACATTTAAAATGAAACATTTAAAATCAAACATTCATTATTGAAATTCATGAAATCCATATTATTTATTATTAATTTGAAAAATTTAAACGATATACACTTATAAATGATATTATCTATTCATTTTTTTCATTCAAAAAATACTTCAAAAATCGAATTATTATTTCTTAAATTCTAAATAATGCATGTATATATATGTCATCCTTTTTGTCCTTAATGTCATTCAAAAAAAAAAAGAAAAAAATGAAAAATCAAAAAATGAAGCAATTTTTATCGCTCATCAAATTTTTCACTTCCATTTTTTTTTCTCCTTTTTTTCTTTAGTTTTCGCCTTCATGTCATTTAATTATTATCATTTGATCGCGAATCGGTTTTTATTTCACTTTATTGTCATTCATTCCATTGATGCTATACTTTTTTCCTTTTTCCGGTTTTTCTATCTCAAATCACCCACTCTTATCATCCCATCCAAATTTATGCTTATTTCTATGAAAATTTATCGCTACAAAAATATTCATCTCAAATTTCCCATTATCATCACATAAATTAGGGAAGTGGAAACGTGCCGATTGTTGGAAAAAATTTTATCAACAACTTTTGTCTCTCTTCTAAAAGTTTTATAAATGATAATGATGATGATGATGACCTTCATAGCATTTTAATTTAATCACTCTCACTCTCTCTCTCTCTCTCTTTCTTTCCTCGCCCTCTTTTACTCTTACTTTCTATCACAATTTTAAAATGATTGAAAAATTAGATAAAATAAATGTAAACTGATATTTCGATGAAGTAAAATTCTTTTTCGAGTGAAATTCAATAATGAAACAATAAAAGTAAAAATTTTTGGTGAAAACTTTGCAAAAATATTGATCAAATTTATCGTATATCAGATTTATGCTGCTAAGTAATAATAAATAATTTTATTCTTTTGTTTAAATTCACATATTACAATTTTACTATTACTATTATTATTATTATTATTACTACTGCATTAATTACAAAATATTTATTGGATTTCTCAAAAAAATTATGGAAAGAAAATATGTATGGACAATTCAATTAAATCTTCAAATATTAATTATATTCATTTCATTTTTACTCCAAAATTTTTATGAATTTTAACGAAAATTTAAATATTTATAATCCAATATAATCATAAAATTTTGGTGTACCGTGCATCTTTGTCATTTATTTAATTTAATTTATTATTATTGCAAAATGAAACAAATCAACTGCAAAATAAACATTTAATTCCGGGGATAAAATCGGTGTGACAACATTTCAAATGTCATTGATCGGCGGACATAACATGCAAAAAGTTCTCGACAAGAAAGTACAATTAATCAATTAATAAAAAACCATTTAATAAATAATTTCCAGAAAAATGTGTATAAAATTTATAATATTCGATAGAGATTTAACGGATCAAATAACTATCATTCATTCATTCCAATGCTGTCATCAAATGCAATAATCCTTCATTTAATTCATGATTAATTTTAATTTCGCACATTGATAACAAATGATAATTTTACAGGAAA